ACTGGTGGGATAACCCAGTCTTATGGGTGAGTGCCTGCCAGTGGGGGCATGCAGCTGTTATTAGTTAGAAGGTCTTGGTATTAGTTTCAGATCTGCCTGGAAAATCGGCAGCAGTGGAGTTTAAATCTTTCAAGTTCTTGTCTGTCCCTCTGACACAGAGAGCAGCCCTACACCTCCCCTGGTTCACCAACCTTCCTCTGCAGGACAGCAGCATGACCTGGCCAGCAGGTACCTGCCTGACATCTGGCAGCAACTCTCTCTGCCCAAGCCAGCCTGTCCCTCGGGAACACAAGATCTTCCCAAAGTGTCTAAAGTTCCTCCAAAACCAGGGAGCGGCTCTCAGAAGTGATGTGATGCAATGTGCAGTTCAGGTTATGTTCCCTGAGCCCTTATGGGAGTTGCACAAGCTTAAGCTGTTTTGTATAAGGTGAGATTCTTAAGAAATGTGGTGAGCTATTTAAAAAGCAGACTTACCAGCACTCATAACAAACTATCCAGATGTAAACTTCTTTAAAGTTGAGCTTCTTCACGAGTTGATTTTTTTCTAGTAAGCCTTTCTAGTAATCCATTGTAAACAGTCAGGACGCCAATGTCTGAGACAACTGACAGCAGTCACCTTTTTAACACATGATGCCCTTAGGTGATAATTACCTCCCATTACACAGACTAGCTACTGAGCTGTGAAAGAGCAGTGGAAGTAAGCACATGCCTGTTTCCCACCTGCATTTCCTAGGTGGAAGGGAGAACAGCTGCCCAGGTGACATTCACACCTTGTGTCTGACCTCACGGACACTGTGCTGATGTTAGCTTGTTGTAGCGTGAGCAAATACACTGCTGTAAGCATAATGCAGGGGAAATTTAAATAATCCAAATGCTTTCTTCCTACCTGCAAAGCAACATTGTTTAACTCTGGTGAATCAGCCATGTATTGCACATTTATACTGTTTAAACCTTAACACCATCCTGAGGTATTTGCTTTCAAACATATTTTGACATTTCTTTCAATTTTTGCAGAATTGTCAGCTACAGTAGGAACAGAATTTCACAACTTGAGTTGAAATCTTAGTCTGCTTTTCAAGTTGAACATTTCCAGTGCCTGACTTTTGTTTAAACTCTTAAGCACCACATGTCTGTTTTCCCTGAGCCAGCTATTGTTTAGAAATACTAGCAGTGGCTATCAGTGATGGTGGTCATTTTTACACAGTGGCTGGGACAAAATTGATTTGCCACCACTTAAGGTCCTCCTCTCATCTGAACCTCATGCCGGTGCTGGGATGCATTTCACAGCTAGACCAGAGGAGAATTCATGATCCATCAAAAGTGAGGTAATTCAGCCTGGGAATGAAAATAGAGGCAAATCCAATGTTTCTTTATGGCAATATGGCAGCATCCAGGGCCACTGCTTAATGCCGAGTTGTCCCTTGTCAGTTCAAAAAATCCTGAACATCCAGCCTCTTTGGTATTGAGCCAACCTGAAGCAAATTTTTCTTGTTGAAATTTCTTCAAACCTGACTCATTCAGCTGTTTTGATGCTCTCAAAAAAAAAAAAAAAAAAAAAAAAAATTAGGAGCCATGTCTAAAAAGTCTGAGACTTTCCATTTTCTTTCATGTAAACAAGATGGCCAAATTGAGATTGAACCAGCAGCATTCATTCTGGAATTCTATAGCTTTTAAGAATTAGTATTGGTAACCCAAGCAACCTTCAGTGTATATTTTGCATATAATGTTACATGCTCTGTATAACATAGCCATAGGAGTCCACACATGCCAAACTATGAAAATTATTTCCCTGCTCTTTGGCAGACTCCAGAAGCAGAGGGATTAGATTATGTTCTATTTCTTTCTGGTTTAAAATGTATTTAGACAACTGAATGGCTTTTCATTTGATGCTTGCCTTACATGATTAATTTATCATGTCCTTCCTTTCAATCTGGTGAGGTTTTTACAAAGTCTAGTGTATTGTTCTTTGTCCTCCCTCATCCTTCCATTTCTGGGGAAGGAGGGCACATTCCTATTTCCCGTAACAATCAGTGTAGCCACCAAGGGCTTCTAATTGCAGAAAGCTGTTTGTTAGCCTGGCATCCCAGCTCTGCCTGTGAACAGAGAGAGCAAACGCTTTTCTCCTAATCCCACTGACCAGACTGGAAGGCACTGCAGCAGAACCTTAAACAGATGCAGATCACAGCAGGCCTGCTCAGATCAGTGTAGTGCCATTTTATGCCAGAGTAAAGCCTGAGCAGTTGCAGAGATTGGTTGTTTTCATGTGAACTGTGTGCCGCAACTCATGTAAGTCATGGGATCCAGGATGTATCTGAGGCCTGAAGGGATTGTGGTGATTGATGGCACTTGTATGTAAACACCAACTTAACCAGAGGCCTTGTAATGGTGAATGTGGCAACCTCATTTGTTAGAAAAATGGCAGAAATCTCTACAAAAACTTGCCTCCAGAGGCTTTGAATCATTCCTTCATTACTAATGGATGACATTTCATTCCATCAGAAGTGACCTACCAAGCAATTGTTGCTGTCAAAGAGGAGGCAGTCTTTTAGTTGGCTGCTGCCTTGTCAGGCATTAAAAATCACAGAATGCTTTGGGTTGGAAGGGACCTTAGAGCTTATCCACTTCCACCCTCTGCACGGGCAGGGACACCTTCCACAATCCCGGGTTGCTTAGAGCCCCATCCAACCTGGCGTTGGACACTTTCAGGCATGGGGCAGCCACAGCTGCTTTGGGCAACCTGTGCCCAAAGTGCCAGGGCCTCAGCACCCTCATGGTAAAGAATTTCTTCCCAATATCTGATCTGAAGTTCCCCCTAGTTGATGTGGCTTGACTAGGTGCTGTTCATTGAGCAGCCAGGTAGAGTAGCAGTGGCAGCCTGGGGTGCTGCATTGTGACAATGACCTCTACCAGGGAAAAGGAGCAACCTGAGCCACTTCCAGAATACAAGCTTCAGCTCCAAGTGCATGAAAATGCTATAGAAGTGACCAGAAGTGACAAACACAGGGTTTCTGCTGCCAAGCACTCTATGTTGGGAGACTGGAAAGTAGCACTCTTGCACATGGAAATTAGCATTCATCTTTCTTAGGAAAATGCAGGTATTTTTATGGGATCCTGCTGGTGCAAAATGATCTGAAGCAGTACCTCTCAACCTTACTGGTCCAGCTCCATAGTCAATCAATCAATCACACAACTCACTTCATTTTTTGTAGGGGAAGAGGACTTTTTAGCCTAGCAACTGTCCTGTCAGGGTTTGGTTTCAGGGAGAAGCTGTCAATTTGGCCCAGACTCATCCAGCTTGGAAAATGCAGGGTGAATACTTCTACTTGCTGTAAGAGGCTTTCAGAAATGAGTAGGGTCTGTGTGTTGTTTGCTCTGCTGTCCACATCCTCACACTCATTCTCCCATAGCTTTAGACAGATGAGAAGAATTGGAAGGAAATCCAAGATACTCACAGGAGTGATATTTTAGCTTCTGTGCTGCAGACATATATTCATGAACTTTGCTATGGTCTTTGGGTCCAGGGACTCCAGTAACTCTCACTTTACACCACCTTGGTGACACTTGATTTTACATCAACCTGAAGAAGGACCTGACCAGCAGCAACTTTGGGACACTCAGGTAGAGGAAAAGAGCAACTTGCTGATAGGTCCGACATATTTAAAACTGCACTCTGTCCTGGGACACACAAATGCCTCCTCTGTCTGCATCATCTCTAAACATTTATTTAAAAGCAAAGACAGATAAATAAAAGAAACTGCATCCTGTCAAACAATCTAGTGATGTAAATTATGCAGATAGCAAATTAGTAAATCATTTCACAGGAGAGGAAGCACACATGGCAATCTACAAAAGAGTGAGCAGAAACAACTGAAGGTGAAGGACAGAGGTGTCTGCAAGCCATGATATGCGCTCATCTCCCCAGGTGTTCTTTTAATTAGTTATAGCTCTCTTCTGAGACTCTCTTCAAGATATGAACAACTCATTTTGAACTTCATCTGTGTGCAGACCTTACAAGAGGCAGGTTTGCATCTTGTGTTAATATGCATTTCTACCAGTATCAAAAAAGGACAGTGGCAGAGCAAAACAACTTAATTTTTTTTTGTATTTTTAACATGAATAAGGCTATTTGATTATTAGAAAGGAATTAGCTGTCTTGGCAGGTCTCATGTGACTGAGTTTTGGGTGAAGGCTTAAACCCTCAGAGTTGTAAGAAAATCACATATTTCTGTTTGAGGTCCTCCCTGGCTGACAGTTCTGTGAAAAACATCTCAATCTGAATTAAGGTAACACTGTTGTGCTCAGGTGGCTGCATACTCCACCTTGCACTGCCCCAGCATCTCACACTTGTTACCTGCTTGAGCAAACAGATGTATTTCTTTAATTTGTTCCTATGATTAATGATTTTAGTCTACTTCAAAACATTCCCTAGCTGGACCTTCAGCCCAGTCCCCTGCACCCTGCCATAGCTGTCTGTGGGTGGATCACACAGACAGCTGCACACTCTGCACAAGATTTAAAGCAGCAGATTTAAAGCAGCTGTAATTTCCAGAAGGTGCTGCAAGTAAAAAGCTTAGTAATACTTACAACACTTGTGTGAGGAAAGCACATAAATATATTATTTACCCACGTATATGTGTGGAAATAGAAGCACATTTATAGGAAAGGAATAGGAGTCAGAGTAAGCAGCCAGGACAAGCTTAATATGAGCAGGGAGAAACAAGCTTAGCCTCCCACTCTTGCTATGCAGAATCAAAAAAGAGAAGGAGAATGCAGCCATCCATAGCACACATAAGGTCATACCAGACCAAACAGAAATAATAAGGGAAGGTAGAGGCCTCTTTACACCTCCTCTTCCTTCCTCATGCTTTTTCTTTGTCTTTCTTGCCTCCACAAATTAAATCTGCAGCTGAGAATACTACAAGTTTTTCTTTATAGGAAATACTTTGGTGTTGAGTGCTCCTGAAACATTATGGAAACTATTTGTACTTTATGTCTTCCAGAAAATTATATTGATGTGCCTCAAGATGGGAGAGGTAAGACCAGACTTCAAGGAGCAGCTTTCAAGGAAACCAATTAAATTACAAGAGCTGAAAAAAAAATTACGGATAAGCAGGAAAGACTACAAAGAGGAAGATTGAGCAAGTCACATGAAGACAGACACCATTCAAACAACTTCTACAGGCAAATTATATAGAAAGAGTCTCCAGGAGAAAGTAGTCTGTAAGCAATATTTTAATTCTAGACTGACACTATTATCTCTGAAAGGAAGCATCATATTTGCAAAAATGCTCAATAGGAAGAAAATTAAGTTGCTCTGGCAAATCCACACAAAGGTGGAAAACAACCACAAGACAAACCTTTGGTAGATAACTTTTCTTTGCCTCCCCATCCATCAATTGCCATTTGAGCCTAATCTCAGCCTAAGTGTCAGAATCCTGAATGTGAGTTTTTCCAAAGTTCTCTGGTGAACATTTTGTCACTGTAGGGTAGCTGCTGGCAATCCACATCACTGTTCACCATATTGTCCTATGCATTGCTAAGGTAAGCAGAGCCCTTTCATTGAGTCAGACTGCAGGGTAGCAATCATAACATACATTTCTACATTGCTGGCAATGATTCTGCTAAGACATCTGAGCCCATCTTAAATTCAGGTTCTTGAAGAGGCAAACTTTATTAGGATGCAATACCGTTCCACCCCCATACTCCTTGAAGCTGAAAGAAACAGAAAAAACACAACAAACTGTATATTTCAAAAGCAATAATACCACTGTCCCCCTGCTTTACAAGGCAGTAGTCCAATTCCCTCAGCCACTGACTGGCTGCAGAGTTTACCCCACACAAGTCTCAGAATCCATTTGTAAGCCAGAAAGGCAATGACTGCCAGAGAAGTATGTGGAGCACTTGATCACTGGGTTGCAATAGGTTGATGTAACTTTCCACAGGACGGGATTATTTTAAAATCATACAGTATCAATTACATGAAAAAATCCTGTGAAATTCAGTTATTTAAGATATTTGCATGGAGATCCTGGCAATGACAAGCAAACAGAGGAGTTCATCTGGAAATCATAACACAAAGCCATGATAATGCCAATTTCATGATTCATGTCTAACATTTTGTCCTGCAAATCTCAGTAACTTTAAAGTAACCGTACATTTTACCATGTAACCACAACATGAGGAACACCTTGCTAATGAATAATCAAATGTTCCTTTTGTACCTCTTTGGCTGAATGAATTTTAGTCTTCTGTTGAACTCAAAGGGGACACTTTTCTCAGTGATTTGAGTTACTTCATGGCTACTGGAGTTCAGGATGGTACATGACTAAAACCATGAAGGAATAGATAGTGTTGGAGTACCCAACAAGGCTGGAAACCACAGGAGTGGAAGCCCAGTCTTCAAATAAAGCCCAGTCTGAGTAGGATACCCACATGCACTTGCCCCTTTTCTCTGTAAACCAACAGCTAAACATGCTAGGTACCAGTGAGTCAGGGCAGGCAGTACCTAAAAGAACAAATTCACAGGTAGGTGTGCCATGCTGCAGGCATTAAACTCCATCCTGTTCCAGGAAAGCTTGAAGCCTGGCCCACTCTCACTCACCACAGAAGTTCCTGCCCACCCCCTCAGCTTGCAGATACCTACAGGAGCTGCCACAGTGCACCTGGGGTGTTACACCTGTGTTACACCTTAACAACTCTCCAAGAAAAGAAAAAGAAACTGAGTAGCTAGAGGTGATGCCATCCATGCCAACGTCATGCCCCCTCCCTGTTACCGCTGAAGATGAATAGATCATGCGGACACAGGTCGAGGTGTGGTGAAAGGAAGAGAAAGTTTATTTTTCCTCCCAGGATTTATAGGTTTCTGACCACGGCCAGGGATTGGATGGTCAGGATAACACTTTCTCACTGCACTGGCCATGAGAGATGCCCATCACAAGACGTGTAACAGAAAGAATGTACCCATATCTATGTTCACAGTTACTGTCCTGGGAAAGTCCTTAGAAAACTATGTTAGCAAGCTCAGAAGCTGAGTTTTCAGGGTGACATCTCACCCTTTTTGGTTTTACAAAAAGAAAAGAAAAATGAACAAAGAAACTAGCAACATTATAAACAATCAAAAGGATAAATAACAGGAAAATACAATACTCCATACAATCAGAAGGCTGTAATTTCAGGGTGATACCTCCCCACTTCCTCCTTGGCTCCAAGATCCATAACCACTGCAGACACCCAAAAAAGTATCCACAGTAGATACTTTTTGTGGTGCTCTGCAGTAACTGCTTGGGTTTTTTACCTTCTCCCGGCACCTACTTTCAGTGTGAAGTGATGACTGCCACAGAGAGCTTTGGAAAAAGCTTATGTTCATAAAGGAATTTGTATTAAATACTGGTTTGTGTGACTTACTGTATTTTGTAAGGGTTTTTTTCCCTTTGGGAATTGTGCGTTATTAATGAGCAGTTTTATGCTTTACTTCTGGCACATGTATACCTTGTAATGGATGTGCATTTTGTTTGTTTGTTTTCTTTTACTCTCTATACAGAGCCAGTTAATATAAGGTATATTATTCTCTGGCTGAAATTCTGATTTTGCCTACCAGTTAATTTATGGATAAATCATGTAGCTGGTGAACTATTTTTCATCAATTGTGTTGTTTTAATCTGATAGCCTCTCTAGCAGAATAAAAGATCCTGAATAAGACTAATGCTAGTTGGGCCTTAAATTAAATTAAAGGGAAATAATTCATTAAATAAAAGGAAAATTATGTATTTCCCTACCACCATTTCTATCAGCCCTTCTTCCTTGGTGTTGGGACACTGGAGAAGAGCACTGGCTACACAAACAGCCACCTGAACACCTCAGCCACCTCTGTAGCTGTGTTCTGGTATCCCCCTTCATTTACTTAATCAAAATAATGATGGACCAGACAAACTGCAATGAATTTTTCAGTTATTTCTGCAGAGAGACTGGTTCAAATGCAATTCTTCTCTAAAAGAAATTATCTGGACTAAAATAATTGTATTTTCCTCTATGTCCATCCTGATATGTTTGGAAAAATAACAGAACTGAAATTAACACTTACAAAAGTGCATACATTATACCCCTATGTGACAATGGCAGCTGTCTCTCTCGGTGGCTATTAGTGACCTTCCTGCTCCAGAAGCCTCTTCCCCTGTCCAAATAATTTCCTCTCTCCTGTTTCACTGAGAACTGTGTCCAACTTCTTAGTAATTGTTGTGTATAATGTAGGACATAAAAAGATAAGTTAAAAAGCTTGTGCAGGACTTGGTGTTGTAATTTAACCATCTTTTGTGCCTGGTTATGGATTTTACAAAAAACAGAGTGAAAATAATCTGGCCTCTTAATGTATAATTCAGCATATTGTAGCAGCTATTTTAGACACCTGTTTTTTATAGTTTTACTATGGCTGTAATTTCTGTATGAGGACTGTCCACATGAAGAAGTGGTGTCAAAATGATTTTTTAAAGTCAGTTCTATGCCACCTGTGATTGTGTATGAAAAGTAAAGCAACAAAAACAAAACCTCAACCACTGGCTGGGAAGAAACACCTTTTCTCAGCCTCAAAAGTTCTCTTCTATAAGACAGGCATTTCTTCTAGTCCTCCTTTTACAAAAGTAGTAAATTACTAAGAAGATAATATATATACAGTGCAATAGTCTATTTTGATAGTCAGCTGACTATTTTAGGCTAACTAAGCTAACTAGAAATTCTAGGGTTGCAGTGATTTCTCTTTATTGATACATTGATGATAATACTGTTTACATAACACTTGATGTTTGAAATCAATACGTGCCAGTGTCCAGTGATTTGCTAATCTAGTTTCTGGTCTAATCCTGTCCTATTTTTTGCAGCATTCTCTGACTTCATATTATGAATCATGTTGTCTTTCTAAAGTGATTGCCAAGTAAACCAAAAATGTGTTTTACACTGCTATTGCACTGCTCTCGTCTTTATATACAGTAGTTTTTATAAACATGTCCTTAGGTTTTAATAAATGAGTGTAACATAAACTAATCTCTGTAATAAAACTCACTTTAGTGTTTCAAAGGCTGTGTGGAATAGCTGTAGAGATTTGAGCTTCCGAGTATTTTGATAGCTTCAAAATTCATGGCTTCCTTTTCATCTGCAGGAAATCCCCAGATACCAGAACTCCATAGTCTGTACAAGGGTAAAATGAAGAGAGTGTATTTAACCCAAAGAATGGATTTAGAAATGGGGGGAAGGGGCCCCAAGAAGCCAAACCATACCATAAAAAAGCCATTAAGGCCATTGCGTAAATCAATACGCGTTTATATTTAATCTCCATCACATTTCCAGCAGTTGCAAATACCAGATGTTTAAGAGGGAAATGTGGGACATTGCGCAGAGCCTGATAAAAAATAAATACAATCTTTTCACTACTCAAGGCAAGCAGAGAAGACCAAACTGCAACTGAGCAGAAAGAAAGCAACATTTTGACTTTTATACCTAAAATACACTGTCCCAGATGGCTCACCTCCCCAGCTGAGGCAAACACAGTTTAGTTTGCTCTGTATGAAAAGGCAGGGCAAACAGTTTTCAGGGAAATGAGATTTAATTTGCTCTTTGCTTCCAGGCTGAGGATTTGGAAACTTTTCCCCAGAAAGGTTTAGATTTTCTGAACACCCTCTCAAGTCTCTTCATCACCTGTTGTTTAGGAGGCATCATTGCCAATGTTCCCAAAATACTGAGGATGCTGAGCTGAAATTTCAACTCTTCTATTAGTAGGGAATATTTTTGACAACATCACCTCTTGGGACAGATTGTTTCCTTTTATAGAAACTGTTCTTGCTCTGTCCTGCTGTCCTCAAGCTTTAGTTTCCCTCAGCTGTTTTCCTGTCCAGCACTTGCTGTCCTCTTTGGTCCATCCCAACTCCTTGATATCCAACTGAAGTCCTGGTATTTATACTCATCAGATACCTTTTCTCATTAGAAATTATCCTTCCAGCAACAGATCTAGCCTTAGATTTGTTGTGAATTCATGTTGTAAATATTGGCTTTTCACAATTATTCTGATAAATATATACTATATGCTTTCGTTATATTCTTTTCTCTCTTAGCAAGTTATAGGCTTAGATAGGAATTCTGAATGGTAAGGATATGTTTCATCCGGACAAGGCAAGATAACTCCAACAGGCACGACAATGGGAGGATCAAGCTGTGGAAAACAGGCTATTATCAGCAGCAGGAAATGGAGAGCAAACCGTTATCAAAAAGCCAGTACCAGGATGTTGGCGGGGGGGAGAGATATGAAGCCCAGCTGCCCTCAAAGGAAGGATGACGGGCCTGGATTGTTATCAACAGTGACCATTTGCAGAAGAAAGGAAACCAAACTTCAAATAATGCTGACCATCTAGAATAATGATGACCATCAAAAAATATGCTGACCAGCAGAAAATAAAATTGTGCAAAAGCATGATCTAAGAAGGTGGAACCAGGGAGGGGACATGCGTTGAATATGCATTAACCCCTCACAGCAGGATGGGATAAAAAGGGTATTCCCAAGATACCAGGTGTGCTCTTGGCAGCGCGCCAAGGCACCCGGCCGTAACTCTTTGCTTTACTTTATGTCTCTTATTGTCTTTATTAAACCTTTTTAAAATTTTACAGGAGTGAACTTCATTTTTCACAGATTAGAGACTGTGCTAGGGAATATACCTAAACACTCAAAAACAGATTTTTAAAGCCAAATTTTAAAGGAAGGATGAAAAATCCTTTGTAATGTCACTTACTTCATGTGCCAGAGTGTATTTCTGGAGCTTCTATAACAGAGCACATCAGCTCTAAAGTAGAAAAGGATCATTTTCATTAAAGAAACACTTCAGTAATTCTTAGGGGTTTTACAAGTGTAAGAGACTACAATTGCACTCCACTGTGCTAAAATTTATGGAACATATTGCAGAAAGAAAGAGGACAAAAAGCAGCTTTAAAAATACATAAATATGAAAAAATTACAAATAGTTGCAACTCAGTCCCCTTCTCAAACTGCACCTGGAATTGTGAAAACAGTTAAATATACAAGACAAAGGAAGTAAACAGATGGATTGTGTGTGTTACAGCTTCCTCACACAAAGTTTCAATTCAACAATTTTTTGATATGCTTCTAGTAATCGAGGAAGGATTATATTCAGCACATTATGCTCAGCAGACACAGCTTTTATTTACCAAGCAGCAAATTAAATACCTCTGGAATTTCTATAGAAGATGGTAAAACACTGATAGCGGCTTACAGACTGCCATTATCACCAAGTCAGAAACAAACAGGGGCATCACAGCCAGTTCCTTTAAACTGTTTATTCTTGCTAGAAAGCAGAGACTTTGTTGATTTGCTGGTTGTTCACACATACAGAAGGACAAGGAGAGAAAATAGAGCTATGATTTATTTTTATTTCCAAGAAAACAACAAAACCCTGTTACTCACCCAAGCTACTCCCAACAATTAATTTAATTTGGAAAATGAAAAAAACATTACTGGGGGG